TGGCTGATCAGGCCAGATATCACCATGCACTGACAGTGTCTTCGTTGGGCAGTGACTGTCAGGCATGCACTGCTCCCCCCCTGCAAACTGTGCAAGTTGAAGCGATACGAAGACGGCTGTACAGAAAAGGCTGCTACACAGTGAGAGGAGCCCTAGTCCGAATCCTGTGTAAGGACTCTAGGACCTCAGAATCAAAGGATACCTGCTCCATAAGAGCAGACTTCAGCCAATCTAAGCAAGTGCCTCTTCGATTGCTGATTCGAGGGACTTCGCCAAGATTTACAATGCAATGTGTCTTGGCGTGTCGGACCATGTGACCCAAGACTTCGAAATGGAGGCAAATCGCACTACAGCACCTAAATCGCAGTGACGGCCGTACACAATGACGGTCCAGCTATACATAGCTCGACTGCGATTGACAGTTGAACGAACGGATGGTGCAAAGCCGTTTTGAACAGCCCATCGTTGTAGAGCTTCCTCTGACTGCTGCATAGCCAGGTCGTAGTCAAAGTCTGGCTCTTCAATGAAAGTCCACGCTGCCCTTCGGTTAGTGACTCCAATTTGAAGTTCGAGAGCAGTCAAGAAGCTGGCAACAGCTTCGAGGAAGTGCAACGACATGACTCAACAGCACAGAAAAAGGCGATACACGAGGAAAAACTTTGGAGCAAAACAGCTCCGAAACACGAAAAATTGGAAAAAAATGACGATCATATCACCTAGTGCCTTCGAGCAGTATTGGTGAGACATGATCAGACTGCAGACAAATTTTATCTGCATCCAGAATCCACCGTTGTAAATCTGAGACATTATACGACTCGCAGGATCCGAACATGCGTACACGTCAGTGCTGTGTAGACACCTTTCCACGTACATGTCAGTTTCGGGTCCTCGCGACCGATATTTTTGCTAAGACACTGCCACATATAACGCCACATTAACACAGCAGAGGAGTCTGCCGAGCTCCCGCCGATGCGAGATGCGCGTGAGGTCATCGCTGTGAGAGCCTCGATGTGTGCAGTTTCCACGGAGGGTGAAAATGTTTGAAGCATTCGGCCAGCTGCAAAATCGGTCAAGTAGCATTCGCGCATCGGTCCGCCAGACATTGACAAGCGGTTTTCACTGACGAGTTTTGCAGAAGTTCTAGGACCAAGGTGGGGAAGACGTGTACGGCGGGTCATGTCTGAGTCATTGCGGGCTAGTCGTTGAAGAGGCCGCTGCATGTTTCGGGCACCTGCTCAGGTCCATCCAACTGCCGGTTGGAGGGCTTGCAAATGGGCGCGGAAGTGGAGATCTGCCATGGCTGCGATCTTGCCGAGCGGTTTCGTTCGACCCTCAGGGAAGTGAACTCGATGCCTCCAGCCGCAGCTGCCCTGGACTTTCAGGACGCTGCAGTTCCCCTAACCGATACGGAGGTGCACTGGGCTCCATGCCAAGGCGCAAGTGTCGGCGGACCTGAATCCAGGTGCGTAAACTCGGCCTCCTCCTGTGGAAGGCACGATGACGCACAGGAACAAGGAACAGCCACCTCGGTCACTCATGTCTGGGTTTGCAGGACATCGTCAAATGGGTGCAGGAGACTGAGGGAAATCGCTACCTGGGCCTCTTCAGAAACTCGGCTGCGTCACCGCAAATGACTGAGCAAATTATTGCAGCAAGCGCTCTCTTGATGGCGATTACCCGGGTACCCGCTCATTCCATGTTTGTAGACATTTTCAAGCCTGTCGTCCTTCCACCTCCAGCTGTCTTACTTCCCAAGCAGTTTTCCGAAAAAGAAAGACGAGCTCGAAATAGACAAGAACTCTCTCTCTCTCTCTCTCTTCCAGATGGGATCAAGAAGCTGTCTTTAGTTCTGTCCGGCGCACCCTCGAACCACCATGTCGAAACATCGGTTTGAGCAGGCCAGCTGTGACGGCAGATAGATCTGCCAAGGATCCTATCGATTCCTAGACCTGTGTGCCAACACGGTTCATGTAGTCTGGACGAAGCGATCGCCGAGTCAATTCTGCGAAGCGAGACCGCGCTGACCAACATGCACCCATTCGGGGACAGGTCCACCGACAGCTGATAGTAGCTGATAGACTTCATAACTTCATAGACTGTAAGCAGTGCATCCACGTTTGTGCAGAAGACTCAGGAGCTGACCATCAAACATCCAAGACGTTCGGTTGGGATGGCAAGGACAGCAACTGGTGGAGAGTCGATGAGTCACCGGCACCGCTGTCGTGTCCGAAGGAGATGCCGTCGCGAGGGTTGGAGCCCTTAGAGCCCGGGGCGACTCCGCCAGAGTGGTGGGCTCCTCGCAGCTTCCATGGATTTCACGAAGTTCTGAGATCCCGCCTCTCGCTGGAGGTCCTTCGTTCCCGTGACGGATCTGTTTCTGGTGGTGGGAGAAGGTCTCGCTGGAAGCTTAATTAGGGCCATGTCTAGTGACTGCCGAAGAGCCGCGAGCATGTTGCAGCATTACCGTTTCTGAGGTCGGCGTCACCACCGAGGGCATCTTTGCTGAAAAGGCCAAAGGCCAGAAGAGAACATGTGGGGCTCTTAGCTCTCAGAGTGCTTCCTGACGTTCTACCATCACAGCTCCACCGCACTCAGGTCTCAGGGAATGCTACAAGCCAAAGTGCTCCACTTAGCTGTTGACTTGCTTGCCAGTTCATGTAATGGGCGCCATTTGCTGGCATCCATGTTGGAGAATGTCCGAAGGTTTGGAGGTTCAGCATCAGAGGGCTCTGCTGGTCTTTTGGTCGAGGACACTGTTCTGTTTGAGGCCTGATCGGAGAACTTGGCTAAGGCAGCTCACCGACCAGAATGGTGCCGACAATGGCGGCCCGCCCAAGTCCGAAGACGCCACTGCTTAGGAACGGACAGTCCGCAGGAGCTGCACAGGCACAGAGCCGCTGAGAAGCCCTGTCGACGTGCAGCCGAGTGGGTCACAGCCAGCGTGAAGAAGAAAAGACAGCGCGTCGCCTCCAACCCCCCCCCCTCCCGCTCCCCCCCCCCGCCCACGCCCTGCGGGCGTGCAGCGGTTTGCTGGCAACAGCTCTGCGACGCAAATTTCTGTTCAAGTGCAGAGAATGGCTTGTGGGAGAATGGCTTGTGGTGTGTTTTGGGCGTGACTGGGCAATGGCTTATGGAATCTCCAGGCCCCTGCAGGTCGTGTGCGTGTCGTCAAAACGCTGAATTCGTTTGGCACGTGACAGGCCGCCGCCGGCCCTCCGATGGCAGAGCTTGGCCGGGATCTGAGGCCTCATTTGCTGCGCTCGATCAGAGGCTGAGAGGAGCAGATCACCAAGGCCCAGGCCCAGGCAGACACACGTCCGCACCCGGCGGCACGGAATGCACAGAAAATCGGTGCAGGCGATGGATTAAGTGATTTTGACGGATTAAGCAAAATTCAGTGGTGACCATTGTGCCGCATTGATGAGGCAAAGACGTTCGCAGAGGAACTCAATCTGTTCTGGCAAGCGCCGTTTTCTGTTTGTCACACCTTGTGTTTCAACGGTCTTGCTGTCAGTTGTTGAGCGTCGGAGGTACAGAGAATAGCTCTGAGCACATGCTGTTCGTGCCTTCTGCGCAGAGGCACGGGGGCTGAAAGCTGCTCTCGCAACCTTCGCAATGCTCGTCAGATTTGTAGAAGGCGCTAGCGGAGGTTCTCAGTGTGTTTCAGATGTTTTCAGTTTGCCGAGGCATGCGCCGTGCCTGCAGTTCGCAACCGGGCAAAGCCGCAGCCGGGGAATCTTCTGGAGCTGCCGCCTTGGTGATGTGCTCTGCATTGCTCTCGTGGGACCACCGGCTTGCATCACGTGTTAAGGAGGAAGGTGATGGTGCTCAGGGCAGTGCTTCCAGAACTCCGAATGACAGGCGGGGCATGGCGGGGCAAAGGCAGTGAAGACAAGAACATCATGTCATGCAAGCCGTGACTCCCCCCAACTCTACAGGGACGTGGATCCTGAGTTTACAAGACAGCGGGACTCCCAGCTTCAAGCATGGAAGCAGTGGAAAGATTTCATGTCAATGCTTGCCTGCATTTTGCTCCTTGCTCCTGGCAGGTTTAATGCGTACATTTCAGCTTATTTCTTACCTCACCGCAGGTGCCTTGGAAGCAATAGAATTTAAGTTCCGCATCCGTCAGACGCAGATGTCTGCTAGCAACCTGATCCTGGGTTAAGTGCTCCAGAAGGCCCAGTACAGGCCCTAACAAACAGTGCGCCTGATGCCATAGCGCTGTGTCAACAACAGGCTGTGGCGCTGGTGTCGTCCGAGACTGGCAGGACTTTGCCTGCATGAGCCCTGCTGATATGCTCTGCCATTGCCGGTTGGTGTACTCAAAATCGGTGGATGTGGGTGCGATTGATGGAGTCTTGGAAGACGGGCCTCCAGATGTCCACGGATGGCCAAAGCTCAGCCATCTCTTTGAACACTTCGAGCAACGTGATCGAGCAACGTGAGGAAGTGTTTGTTTCACGGCATTACAGAGGCGTCAGAAAAGACAGTCTGTAACCCAGTAAGAGTTACACAACAGCCCGCACGCCAACTCCAGAGGCGACCGGTCTTAAGCAGATACAAGCTCGGGAAGCGCTCGACCCGATGCCTGGAAGCGGGAAGATTTCCCACATCTTGTAAGTTGTCGTCCGAGAAGCAAGAGCCTGAGGCAAGCCATTCGAGATCTCATGGCTTTGACCCCGGAGAGCATGCATGGATTCAAGTAGACTCTCAGCGAGGACTTCTGCCACAGACCTCGAAGCAGAGGTGTGGGTACCTGCCATGCGAGTTTCTCCCTGTGCACAGCTTGAATTGCAGAAGCGAATGCATTGCGCCAGACTCTCTGCTTTGCAGGCCAAGTGCTCTTCAGCGGAGCATGGCTACGCTTGGGTACCTTCTTCCTTTGGCAGGACTTATCTCGTCTAGTCTGTGCAGTTTATCATCAGCAATCCTGCACTTTCGTCAGGGGTGTTGTATGTTCGGATTGAAGCCAGAGGAGCTTTGCGCTTATTGACGCCAGCATTTGCACGTGGCGGTGGCCTGGCCACAATCATCTCGACTCTGCCCAGACATGTAGAAGCATTGATCAGGTGCAGCAGCGAGTCTGTGGTTGGCCCAGAAGCACTGGTGGTAAAATTTGGTAGAGGGTCTTGGGCACTGCCCTTCAAGGTGGAGCTTTCTCATGGTTCTGACGGCACCCGTGTCTTCACCGCTGGGGGCGCTCACAGCAGCGAGCTGGCGCGCTTGAGAAGCTTGAGAAACCCAAGACCACAATTCGGCATCAGGCTGCATCAGGTGTGCGCAAGCGTGCGGTTCTGATGCTGGCAGGCTTGTGTGTGGAATTACCGACACGCACGCCGTCCCGCCGAAGCCCTGGGATGGCATGCACAAGTTTTGCAAACCCCTGTCGACGGCCCGAGGTCGAGCTTTGTTAGAAGCCACTTCCGGCAGGCCTTAGTTCTGCACAGGTGGACTATGTCTTGTGGCTTCTCCACCGGGCTTTAATCGAGTTGTGCAGGCGCTCCTGCTGGCTTCTTTGCACTTTACTCGGCCATACCGAAATATGAAAGCGAGCATTTTGGTTTTGCAAGAACCAAGGTCTGCTCTGCTTGCATTTCAAGAACGCACGGGTTTCTCTCCAGAAGCCGCGACTGGCTTGGAAGGCAGGGCATGGCAAGCGCATGGCAAGCGCACGCAGCAGAACATGCGAATTCCTAATTACGCCAGGGCCAGTGCCGCTTGTGATTTCTGCGATGCGGAGTGGCTTGCTAGGCCGATTTCGGGTGTTCCGAATCCAAATCATGTGGCTTTGTTGGATCAATGCATGGTGGCTCATGCGATTAATGGTGGCCCCATGCAGGTGCACTGATGCTGGTGTGGCTTGTCTCCGTCTTGTTCTGCCTACTTGGCAGATACTCAGGTGCGCAGAGTAGGAAGAGCTGAGGTCCGTGCGCTTGTGTTGTTGTAATTACTTGGCCTGTTCTGACACGTGAGATCTAGGGCATCTGGGGCCCGAGGAATCCCGAGGATCAATCAGAGTCGTGCCAACCGCACCATTTGCTAACTTGCAGGTGTGTTTATGATGCTCCGAAACGATGAGAGTGCTGAAACCGCTGCGCTTCCTTTGCTGGTTTTCATCCAGGGATGCGAAGACAATTCGGTCCCTGGCGCGCTGTTGCACTGCAAGGGTCTGGAAACTGGAAACCTGTGCGGAACTGTAAATTCCCTTGGAGAAAAACGCTCGACACTCACGAACACGATGCGACTATGCTGGCTAAGCTGCCTGTCGGTCGAGTTGGTTGCAACTGGTTTGTGTCGGAAGCGGTCGTGCGGGAAACAGCTTGAGGACTTGCGGTCTAAACCCAGACGGTTGTTCTCCGACCACGCAGCGTAAATACGGCCCCGACTGGTCCACCACGCGTGTTCAAGACTTAAAACTCCTATCTCGGCTTTTGGGCAACACATGTCAATGGCCGAATTCGGGTCACGGCACGAGCTCCAACATGCATGTCGCAAAGCTGGAGCATGTGAAGCCTCCGTGCCGCTGTACAAGTCAGCCTCTGCGCAGTTCCGACAACAGACTCCAGCGGCTCCAGTCAGCACGTGGAGGGCTGACTGGTGAGGCGAGTAGATGTTTCGTAGCACTTTAACGTTACAGCGTTGCTCAGAGGGCACTGACGTCAGCACAAAAGCTTGTGTATCTGGGACCCGAGGGGCGTCAGGGATCGTCATCAGGAGCCCTCTGGCATATCTTTCAAGGCTAGCCTGCACAACGGAGACATGCCACAGTGCATGGCCTCAACGGTGCAAGGCCGTCTTCCTTCAAACTTTTTTAACGTTATTTGATGCAAGATGCCCGCCTTGAATGGCAGCTGATGTTCAAACGATACTGCTGCATACTGCTGCTGTACGAACAGATGTATCAACCAGATGCGAACCCGAGTGCACAAGGTGATGATGGTCTGGATGCTGCTATCTGTCGGCGGCAGTATGGCTTGAATTCATTCAGATGCGAGCAGCCATTCCGGTTTCAGGTTCGATGTGCAGACATGTCGGAGCTGTGTGCAGTCTCGACTGCAGCTGCAAACGGTTCCCGAAAGTTCCCAGGCCAAATGGGTCGTGAGGTATGCCAATGCATGCAAGCTTTCATGGTGTTGAGATGAAGTGTATTGTCCGGTTCGCGCGCTTGGCATACCTACTCTAGCTGACGACTTTCAATTTCGACCGGCTCGCACAAAGTGACATGCTTGCTTGTGCGAATTGCAGCTTGAGTATAGTAATAGTTACTGCAGCAAGCGAGAGAGAGAGAGAGAGAGAGCGCGAGAGAGACTTTGTAAGAAAGAGTGCTGACTGTCGTGCCCTGATGAAGAGAGTGCTGAGAGACAGAAAGATCAGAAAGTGAGTACACTCATTGACTCATTGCGCATCATCTGGTTGCACTGAGTGGCAAGACAGATGTAATGTCCCGCCGTGATCTTCTCAAGGCCAGGATATAGAATGGCGTGTAACGGGCTGAAGGTGGCGGTTGCCACATATAATCTTTACTGGTGGTGCGTGTCCAACAAGTTCGGGAACTGTCCACAATTTGCTTTTGGAACTGGCTTCACCCAGCTGTACCAGCGAATTTCGTCCAATCCAGTGGACCTAATTGGATTCCAGGAGTGTGAGAATGTGGAGCAGGTGGTGGCTGGTGCTGGGCCTGCGCTCTCCAACTTCGGCTACTACTCCACGCCATCCGGAAACGACGCTCCCATGGCCTGGAGCTGGGCCAGGCCAGGGCCGAGAGAGATATATTATATATTATATATTCTATATTATACATTATACAATATATATATATATATATTATACTGTTTTCTTCTCCCTGCAGGTTCAAAGTCCTGGAGGGACCGGCCAGCGAATGGATCGCACAAGACTCTTACAGCCCGCGTTGGTTGAACTGGGTTCGGCTTCTCGAGTACAGCAGCAATACCGTGATCTTCTTCGCCAACACGCATGGCCCCCTTGGTCAGTGTACAGGCCAGTCAAACTAATCTTCAGATTAAACAGAAGCAGACTCCAGGTCGGTCGAACAGGGAGAAGCGATGCAATGGTCTCGGAAGTAATGAACCAAGCGTACAAGGAAAGGGCATGGCAGCTAGGGCCAGGCATAGCGGTCTGATTATAGAGGTTAAAGGAGGTTTCAGCTTCGTTGCGCAGGTGAGCGTGGACAGCAAGTTGCAGATGCATATTGGAGGTCTATATGGAATCATAAAAAGCACAAGGACGTCGTGATTTTCACCGGGGATTTCAACTGCCGGATTTGGGATCAGACACTGGTCTCTTTAAGAGAGAAATTGGAAGATGCTGCTTGGGACACAGTGTTTCAAGGGGCGGACCACATCTTCGCAGAGCATGGAGTGGGGCTTTGCAGCCAGGAGAGCATTTTGGGTGCTCCTTCTGACCATCAGTTTCTAAAGGCTGTTCTGCTTCCGCATGGCGGGCCCGAACCACCGAAGCCGCCAGAGCATGAGAAGTCACAGAACAGGTCGGTTGATGCCACTGCTAAGGATGGTTGCCCAAAACCCCCTTCCAACGGACCCTGCTGCCACCACTGCAAAAGCAATCGCTTTTGTCCGGGTGACGGGGGCTGCTATGCCGAGGGCCAGTCCGGCTGCACTTCAGGAACCTGCGTTCCCAATACTGCCACCCAGCTGCTCCTCTGAGAACCTCTGAGCATCTGCACTCTCCACACGCATCATTGGCCGTTTAGCCTTTCCTGTAGATTCCGATAGCTTGCGCTTGTGCCTCCAAGAGGTGAGTCTCTGCTGACCTGCTTTGACAGCGGCAGAGCAGCGCGCAAAGTGGAGGGCTGAGGGCTCTAATTACACGTTCTCGTAGTGCTTTGCTTACATCTCTTTACATGCTGAAATGCTTTGTGATTGTGGTTTGCCGTGAATGCCTGCTGCCATGAGCTCAAGAGGCTTCGGAGCTCAAAGTCGTAACCCCGGCACCTGACAGGGAAGCGGACACGACAATGGTGCTGGGATCTGTCATGGGAAGTGCGTATGCCGACGCTCATCGCAAAGCGGAGTGCAGCGTCCTCCTTTCGTCACCTGCTTTGCCCGATCTTCTCCCGAGGCCTACTCCTACAACCAGGGAAGATTCCAGTTCGATGCAGGCACAGTGATTTGAGTAGGAGGTTACGTTGCAGTTCAAGGGAAGTGGCTCGGAGGCTGCGGACTGAAAGTGTTGGCATTACGGGGAGGTCAGAAGCAGACCTCCGCCCACCAGATGATCAACATGCGCATCCAGCAATGGCAGCTTTTCAGAGAGGAGCCCGACAGCCCATGCCCGACCCTCCGTCTCACAATTCTACCCTTAGAGATGATTCGCTCCTGAGTGTTCGAGAGGACATCCGTGACCTTTTCAACCTGACCACCTCGCATATGAGCACCTACATGGTCATCGGAACTTTGTTTCTGGGCTTCAGCGTGAGCTTCATCTGGTATTGTCCGACCTTTCCCGGTCACCCGGCTTGGCTAAAGCTGCTTTGGGTGAACACATCAGCCGGGGCCTTGTGCTACTCGTTCCTTGCTGTCTGGCTGGCCATGCATGGTGCCATAGCGGCACAGTCTGCCAGTGTGCAGCTGCTGACGCGTGCGATCCGGCCACCGTATCCGACTGCTATGGAGCTGCAACGAGTTCAGCATCAGCTGGCCCAGTATGAAGCCGCGCCTTCCAAGTTTTTCAGACCTCCTAACCTTCTCGGCCAAGAGCGGCAAGGACAAGATGTTCCACATGCCGCACATGATCCTCATAACCTTACGCTGCAGAGCACAGTGAACTCAACGACTAGTGCGGTGCAGGTGCCAAGACAGGGCATTTTCAAGGGCACCCATAGTCGGATTGTCTGCACTTGCTCGAGTCCGAGCGAAGTTTTCAGGTTTCGGATGCCTTAGCCGAAGAGGCAGCCCAAGCAATGGCAGTGCAGCAAGGCCCTCGACCGCGAAGTTATACTGAAGCGGAAGTGTGTAAGAGAGGGTTGCTTACATTGCCTTTTCTGGCAGGCAGTGGGAGCAGCGATCTCCCAAATCCCTGGGAATCGGAACCTGGTCTGTCCGCCGAGCTGGGCGTTCATGTGAAGCTTTTTCAGCAGCCATGATCTTAGCACAATTTGATTACAGACAGCGGCTAGGGTCGGCTAGAGAGCAATGAGAGCAGGATGTGCGGAACCAAGCCTAAACAGCAGTTTCCGGTGGGACACGAGGCTGCAAAATTCCTTCCTGCCGTTCGATGCCTATGCCCGAGTCTGCCTTATAGCATGTGCCAGCAACTTGATGCCTGCCCTTACATACTTTTGGATTGCGCACCAAAACTGGACTGATCCTGGCGCAATGCTTGCCACCGTAATTTGCTCCTGTGCTCTGATGTTCACCACCCTGGTGCTTTACAAGCTCGACTTCTATGTCGAGAAGCAGCGTATGCGGATCTACAAAGCTGTGGTTGTGTGCGCTCCTCTGGTATCCTGTGCCGCAGTGCAGAGCTGGGCGCATGCCAGGCATGTTGGTGGCGGGTGGCATGTTGCCGAAGAGCTCGTTCAGTGGCTGCTGGTTTTCGCAACCTGTTTGCTACATCTTTTGTGGAAGCTCCTGTTCATTTGGGAAGCACGGCCATCAAAGGCACGGCCCCCGAAAAAGATCATAAGATGAACTCCCATGTTCACACTGGCTTGCACCCACGTATTTGTGCTGTGTCCTGCACTTGGCAGGAAGACCTGAACTTACCCATGAGTTTCCGATCCGTTCGCTACTTGGACATCTTTGGCAGCCTTCGTCGCAGGCATTGGGGTCTTTTCTCGATCGCGATGGCGCATTGATGGCGCACTGCCACGTATGACATGAGTCGACATAGACACAACAGGCAGGCTGACGAGCGGCGTCGGTTTGAGCAAGCTCTGCGGA